GCAATTTATAATAAAACTGCTTCCCTTCTCAGTCTCTTACGTATGTACTGGCCATTCTTGCACCCGCTTCTCCTTCATACTACTACTCATAATCTTACCTGTTCAAGCACAAACTTTTACTTTTTGTCTCCTACTTAATAACGCTATTCTTATCGAATAAATTTGGAGCCAGAATACTCGAAAGTTTTACCTTTGCACATATTTATACTTATACACAATGCATACATAAATATTTAATGCAATGATTTCTGCTGCATCCATCAACTCAGTTAGAGATAAGACAAGTTCATTAATCATAGTACTTAGTCTTAGCTTAAAAATTCTTCCTAATCTCTGATTTTTATGAAATCACTTCATCTCGTTTACTTCGCTCGATATTTGTTGATTTTCAGCTGACTATTCACTTCATTAATCGCTCACTTAGAATGAACAATTTTTGAAAACTTCGTGCCCTTTTTTATTACAATGAATGAAATTTACACTGGAAAAATTATGTCTATTCAGTAGAAAGAAGAGCTAAAGAAAGCAGCACAGAATAATATATTCAATCTCTAAAGTACTTTTCACGTAGACTACGACTGCGCAGTTCTTGCTTACAGATTAATTTATGTATGAAAATGTCTTTGCCCAACTTTTTTCCACTAATATTCGCTCTTTTCTATGCATTGTTGAAAATTTTCAAAAGTATTACACAGAAATTTAAATAGTAAGAAAAAGGAACGTGCACATGTGATTGGTGTATAAATACTTGTTCAATGAAAGGTGCAAAAAATTGAATATGACAAATTGATAATCATTGGTCGTTAAGAAGAGATCAAACAGTGTGGTCAATTATGGTCAATTAATGAGAGGTTAAACAGTTTATCGATTATGACCAATTATAGTAGTCTATTTTTGTTAAAAGAGAGGAATTACAATATTATTATTTTCAGAGATAGCCATTAATCACCAGTTTCGTACTGCCCGATTTTTTTACAAATTTTCATTAAACAGGTACTTCGCACTGAATCCTTGATACCTTTGTTTCTCGTTTTCTCTTCAGAATCGTATGTGATGTTTTCGAATTTCTTTTTAAGCTCTATATGAAAATTTCTACCATTTTAGCTGTAACTTTAGGATTTTTCAACATTTTTTTGCACTTCTTTTTGACCATTTTCAGAACCTTTATAATCCTGATTATTTTTGAGGTTTTTAAAAAATTTAAAGTTCAATAACTTCTGTGACTCTTAGAGGTATATTCTTTAACTCCATGAGGCTGGTACGAAAATCAGTCAATTAATGTAAGGAATAACTGACTAAAATAAAGCAGCAAAAATAAATGATCGCAGGAAAATTTTTTAATAAAATGATTTGTCTGTCATAGTTGCGCAGCTTTGAAAAGAGGAAAAAGATATTCTCATATTTGAATGAATAATGGAAATAAATAAATATATTCCAATGATTTACTGTTATCTTTTGCTTACAGTTATATTCTTTTGTCATCAAAGCCCATAATTTCAATAAGAAATTAAAATCCATTCAATTTTTTGTATTTCAAATAAATAAATAATATCACTTACTTTGGACGCAGAGAACATCATCATTTTTGTTTCATGCAAGTAGATCAATACACATTTAAATCAATTAAGAAGGGAGTTTTTACGTCATTGCCACTTTTTACTTAACTTTACAAATTAATGACCTATGACAAAAGAGAAAAAAAAAACTTGGTGATCTGATGATAACTGAACGTGGAAAATAAACAGATTATATCAAAAGAATTATTGGTGACGTTTAAATATACTTGGAGAATTATTTTTCATTACTTTGTGCTGAACTTTGTGATGAATCTTAAACAAAATTTATGTACGTCTATCCATCAGCAATGATTTCTCAGTAAATATACTGACATACTTGAAAAAAACTTGAATAACCATTCCATCATTTTTTTGCCTTTCAATTAGGCAAAGAGCAAAATGTGAACGGTCTTTGTGTGCCACAAAATTTGTACGCTCACTCAAACATTCATTTCATAAATATATATGTATATCTATACTATTTCGTTCACAAAAAATGCTAGTTTCATCTGATAGTTTATAAATACAAATAGGACATTATTTATAAATATATTTTGTTTAGAACTGAATAATTCTGCGGACTTTCACCTTGAAGGACTTGCCAAAAAATGCATGAACTTTAAAAAAAATGACCTTTAGGTGGAGTGAATCAAGATTATTGTCATTTTTTGCGTTCTTAAAATGTCACATTGTGTGAACTTTAATCATTTCTTATAATTATTATTTATTTCAAATATTTCTGCATTTTCATTATTTTATTATAACAATACTGCTTTTTATCATTTTCATATCAGAGTGTTATTTGTTAAATCTTTATCTCTTTTACCACTTTTATAAACTTTTTTATCGCGATAACTTCCATAATTGCTCATTTTGAAACAGTAACAATAATTGCAGTACTTAATTTTAATAACATGCCTCATTCATTTCAGTAATAACCACGTTCCGCTGATAAGGAATGCTAAAAAAATTACTAGTCATTAACTCCTGCAAATTAACAAATATGAACCAATAAAATATTCGCTGGAATATTTATTAGCAAGCACTGAAATATTCATTTATCTATCTACATGTTTACTATTTCGAGCAGCAAATTACAAATTAATACTGCTAACCTGTCATCAGCATTATTTTCATCGTTACTGCAAGGTCAGCCAGCTGTGAGTAAATTTCAGAAAATCTTTTTTTGAACTACAGAATTTGTTTCATAGAAATAATTAATATCAATTAAAAATTTCTCTGCAAAGCGCAGGTTTTTTTAACTTTTGCAAAGCGAAATTGCAATTGAAATATCATTAATGTTTTTCTGAAGTTTCAGAAGACTTTATGCATCAGTAGAATGAATTTACCTGTGAGAAATTTTTTCCATGAACTACTTGATTTGATGCACTCATTCTTCGTTTAAATTCTAAAACTCATCACACACTTGAACACATGTACAAATATTTCTACTTATATGCATGCATATATTTGAATACTTGTATGCCATATGTAATGCTGCATATTCTTTTATATGTAACATTTGAAGTCACAGATGTTTAGATTGAAGTTCTACATTTACTGGAACAAGTAGATAAATATTTGATACAAATAAATGCAATTTATGTATATGTATACGTGAAAAAAATTGAAGTACATCATTAATGTTCGAAAGAAAACGTTTAAAATTGCAGTTCAAATTTTTGCATGATTAATCAAAAAAATATCAATCACTTGGGTTTCTTTTCACATCTGATCTGATTATAGATTTGTCAATTTTTTCTCTACAAATCAGTGTTTAGATTGGCATCGTTATATGTTTACTGTTTACTTCTATCCAAATTGTTTGCTTGAGTAGTTCATCAACAGTGTAACCAAATGCATTTACCAGGCTGTTATTAATATAAACTATTTTAGCAACTAGCTTTGTAATTTAAATGCGAGTTAAGACTAATATACGCTTAACATATATTTCAAATTTAAATTTTGGTCAAAAAATGCATCTTAATTTTGTAATTATCGTTATGCGTTGCAGGCAATGTTTGACGCACAATGACTTATTATTAAAATGTTATCCAGTTTAATCGTTCAATTCAGGGTATATAGTTGTGTGGTCATCAAATGGCGCATAAAAAGGCGGTAAGTTTGTTTAATAGCTTATTTTTTTCTGTTCTGCTAATATCAGAATTTGCCAGTTGACTAATCGTTTATTGATTTCGTTAAAATGGGACTACGAAAGTAAACACGACCTTAGTAGTATAAAAGTGAAAAAAATTATCACTTATTTTTCGAAGAAAATAAGATTTTTTAATTTTAACAAAAGTTATTTCTCACTGAAACGATTAGTTTTTTGTTTTTTCCCATTCAAGCATATAATTAAAGCTTCTTAATTTAAACATATAACTAGAACTGATCAGTCCTTGCATAAGAAATTGATAACTTGATATACGGAAAAGATTGAGACAAAAGGTTATGTGATAGTTTTATTGGAATATCAGTCAAGAGTCGGGTAGAAAAAAACTTCATCAAAAAATTCTTAACTATATTTCTTACGTTATGCTGAAATATAAGCTTTACGCCATTTCAACAGATAGCAATTTTTTAGCAAAAGAAATAAATTGGAAATTGAGTGTGGCTTCTGGATGAAAAACTTTTTGTTAGCGCAATAAACTTCTAATTACTCAGAAGCACATCTAAGTTTACTCATTCACAAGTATACTACTTTTTCACTTCATCTTTGCATAATCTTGGCGTAATTAGTGTGAGTATCCGATTGCTAGTCATGATCGCTCTCACATTATATCAAAGTTTCATGCGTAAATTAGCATGATTTTCAATTTTTTTCTCTGCGATCTATGATTGCATTGCACCGAATTTAAAAAAAGTAATTTGCAAAGTTTTGCATTTCATAAAAGTAACTATCACTGGAAGTGAAAGTGTCATCACTAGTGATGTAATTCCATTTCGATATGATTACATAAATTAAATATGCGTGAGTATGAATCGTCAGTAATCGCTTGACTAGTTTCTGCTTAGCACTACTTAATATGAAATGCACAGGCAGCACGCGTTTTGTATTTGCATGAATTTTTAATCGTGCTGCTAGTTAATATACTTGTTATATATAAATGTCATTCATTGACATTACCTCAAATATTTACTGACATTCTGCTACTTTTATTTACCTAGACTATTAATAATTCATTAGGAATTGCATTCACTTGAAATATTACTATGTGAATCGTATGTGATTCATAATTTCAAACAATAATTCGTGTTGATTATTCCACTAAAATTAATTCTTTGCTTACAATGGACAGTAATAGTGAAATAATTTGTGCAGCCACAAAAATACCCATATTCCGTACTGGTTTTAATTTATGCAATGATTCACTGGTTGGTACCGTAAAACCAACCTCTGATACCAGCAATAAAGTATACATCCTTCAGTCGACCACCTTATTAATGTCTGGGAACGAAGGCAATGGTGCCATACCTCTAATTGCTCCAGAAGTTACTCCTCGAGACTGTATATGTGATAATAAAAGTGAAGAGATTAAACAAAAACAACTTCCGGTGCATAATGGGAAAAAGCGAACAATAAGTTTTTGTAATAGCGTACGTTACGTGATACTTCTGATAGCTGTCCTGAGCATGACGGCAACACGTTCCAATGAAATGACCTTCAATTTAGCAGTTATATGCATGACATCAAACGTCACTCTTAATGGGGTTTCATTTTTAATCTTTTTTTTGATTACCTTCAATTAAAAACATTGCAGTTCAAATTATTACTTCTCAAACATTGTTTGTATCGACAACTCAACTTTTTTCAGTGTTTTTCAGAATCACGAGAGAAATTTAATTTTAGGTGCTACCCATACAGTTGTCACCACGTGAAATCAGCACGATATTTGCTGGTGGTGGTGCGGGTGCTATCACATTTGTGCTGCCAATCGCTTATGCGCTTCATCTTTACGGATCACGCATTGTTTTCAGTATGCTACTAATGTTTTCATCAATTGCTACAGCGTTGATGCCGTTTGCTGCACGTAAGGGTGTTATTTGGATGGTATGCGTTCGTATTGTGCAAGGTTCGGCTTTCACTGTTATTATAAAACGAGTTTTTTGATATTGAATTCCATATCATTACCAATCTACACTATTTACTGCACTAATGAGCAGTAATGAATCCTGTAATAAATTTCAGGATGGATATTTTCAGATTATTCAGCATTAAAAACAATCTCATTTGATGATAACATGAATACAAGTATTCAATTCTATCGTTTGAATAGTTTTCGTAATGATATTATATTAATTGTATTATTATTTGTACTCAATTTTTCATCTTTTTAAAATCATTTTGCAATGAAATTTGCTAATTACAGGCACAGCTTTGGCATCAGTGATGCCATTGATGGGTTGTGTTAGTTCCACTTGGGCCGCTATCACAGAAATAGGCATGATTTACTTGTGACTGATAGTTGATTATTTTTTCATCATAACATTGTAAGATGTAAACTTTTTATTTTAGATCATAGTCAAAAGCTAAGATTATTATCCGTTAAAGTACCAACTAAGTGCTCATTAATATGTATCATATTCTATGCGAATTTTTGCATATTTTAGGCAGTTTTGTAACTTTGCTATCAGCTGGTGGTCAGTTATCTCAAATTATTACAATGCCATTAGCAGCCCACTTATGTGTTACGTTTGGTTGGCCTGCGGCTTTTTACGCTTCCGCAATTATTTCTGCTATTTCAGCTATTTTATTTCTCTCCTTTTTTCGCAATAATCCTGCAAAGCATCCACTTGTTTCGTCAAAAGAACTTCTTTTTATTACTAAAGGAGGTCAGATCGCTTATTGCTACTTACTATTGTTTATTTGTTTATCCAATCCAATCCAATCCAATCCCATCCAAATTCAAAGACAGCTCAATTTTCATTTGTTTTTATGTTCCTCAAATGGCGACATTTTTTACGCTGAAGAATTTTGACAATTTTTGATCTCTGATGTTTATTCATTCAATGATTAAAGTTTAAATGCTTTCATCGAAAAATTTCCACGTAAATAACAAAAACTTTTTGGTTGCTTTTTGCTTGTTCATTTATGCAACTCGGCAAGGCTTTGTGGTACTAATCTACGCTATAAATAATTTTCTTTGTATTTTCCAGTAGAGCGTAAGCACCGCAGGGACATCTCAGTACCATATTGGTCAATTGCAAGCAGTCGTTCTGTTTGGGCTGTTTGGATTGCATTTTTTGGTAATGCGGTCGGATTTCAGCTGATCGTGCAGTAAGTTATAATTTTAGCCTAGTTTTTATGTTTTTTAAGAGCGGTTTAGATTAAATTAGAGGTATTAAAATAGTTACCTGCTTGGATTTTTAGAAATTGCGAGATGTTCTCACTAAATTAACTCTGCATAATAAATTCAAATGCTGAAAAGAAAGACTACGGAAGTGAGTATGGAAAGCATTGGTGCGAAAGTTAAACTGCACTATAAAAAGTTTTTCTAATATTTAACTTTACAATTATTCTGCCTATTTATATGGCATTTTTGATGAGCAGCTTCTCTGAGCAGACTATGAAGGTTTGTTTACATTAGTGAGATATGCGTTTTTGTTAGGTATATGCCAACATATCTCAACAAAACATTGAAAGTACCAATTGAGCAAACTGGCTTGTCAGCGATTTTGCCTCCACTAGTTCAGTTACTGATGAAAATGATGGCAGGGATTGTCTCTGATAGAATCACTTGTATTTCGGTTCGCTTATCAATTTTGTAATTATTGCTAGTTTGCATGTGAAAGTAGTAGTCATTGAAAATAAAACCAATAACGACAAATTTCCTGTTTAATTAAATGCTTGAATGCTTGCTACTTTCCTAGTGAATCATTCAGTATTATTCACATTCCGTAAAAATAATAAATTTTGCATCATAGGCAGTATTTATACCTCAGAGATAAATATACTTCACCATATTTTATCGGACGAAATAAAATTTTTCTAGTACATTTAGGTTGAATTACCATGTCAAATATCAAATACATTTAAGTAGAAAAAAATTATTATTATTACTATTATTATTATAGGAGAAGTGTAAACTACAAATGTTCAATACCACTGCAATGGTTGGATGTGCTTTGTTTCTGCTTCCACTTGGTTTTCTTAATTCTGATCACGTTGGTATAGCTTTACTTTGCTTCACGGGCGGAATCAGTTGCATAGGACTAATTGCTTGTGGTTCTATGAAATCAGCCACATTAATTGCTCGTACTTTTACTGAATTTGTCATGGCTGTTGTTCAGGTTTATCTTTTTCTGTAATATTTTCTGAATCTTAATTATAAAGCTGCTGGATATATTTAAATTAGCTTTAAATTTAGAAACCTAAGATATAGTTGTAAATATTAGCAATTAATAAACTGTTCATATAATTAAGAAAATTATGTCATATTTGAAATGAGCTTTTGGAGTTAATTTTTCACTTATATAGGTAATTTAAGAACGTAAAAATAATGACCTCATAAAAAATCAAATTAGTTATTCCTAATTCTGTCTCCATTCTTTAAAATACAGATTCCTCTCGAGTTATATTGTTAGTGAACAATTACGTGATCTTGAACGAAATTGATTAGGATACCACTTGATGTTTTATAACTTAGTACAAACCTTTTGACATATTAGCAGGGACTGACTAATTTGTATAAAATGAAAAAACTTAGATATATAAACCAATTTCAATTGCAGCTAGTTGCTTGCATCGGTATGCTTATGGTACCATTTATGGTTAGCACTTTAGCACCGAATACTACCATACGTGAGTGGCGTTATGTGGTATTAGTTACAGCTTTGATTCTTATCACGTCAAATGCAATATTTTGTTGGTTATGTAGTGCAGAAGCAGAGCCTTGGGCTTTGCTCGGATTAGTTCAATCTTCAAATGATAATGAACCGAAAAAAAATTTAATAAATTCAAATCAACAAAGTTTGTCCTAAAGTCTTTGACATTTGCTTGCTTGGTTTTTTACGGCACGTTAAATCAAAGTATGCGAGATTTTATTTGTATTTTTTTCGTTTATATCATCATTAATTAGGTCAGTTTGTTTAAGAAAGTTACTACCTCGCAAATGATATTCAGTTGAAAATATAATGAAACTCCAGAGATTCAGCTGTACATAATTATATAGTGTCATGTTTTGAGATATAACGCTACAGCAAACACTATCAAAAAAAATGTTCAATATTTTTTCGCACCGATCACTTTTGAAATTTCTTATTTTTCACACCGAAATTTCAATTTGAGAATTTGAGAAATAAATACCGGCAGTCTTCAGTCTTCAGCTCCTGTACTTCTTTGCTATTTCATGGAAGTTACTCTGTGATAAATATTTATTGCCTTAAGCAAACTGTAAAAATGTTTGGCAAATTGTAATGTTTTCTTTGAAAAAGCATTATAACTTTTCATGTCGTAATCTAGCGTTGTAAATGACGTGAACTTCCACCAAAACAGTAGTTATGTCATTTTAACTTCTATTTTAATCTTGGATTTATTTTCGTTTAACCTATAGGTCGGAAGTCAACGAATAATATTTTAGTATTGTGGGTAAATCCATGTATATTATATTTTAGGTGAATGATGTTTTAGGCAAATTCGTATTTACTAATCTCGAAACTCGAAATTTGTTAAGCTTTCCATTTTCTTTAATATTTTTAAAGTTAAAGGCATATGTGAGTTGCTTTTCAAAGTTGAAGGAATATGTGATTTCAACAGTGATTTTTGTCTACGAGAAGAGATGACTTCAAATATCTGATTGCCTGTATATCCACTGAGTGCACAAACAATTATCGCTATAATTATATTTGCATGAACTTTCAGGTTCCAGCGAGTCATTCGCTCCAAGAATAAATTTAAATCATTCCCTATAAAATTGTACTCTCATGCAAATTCCTGATTCTGGAAAAAGCAATCACTTATGAATCTCAGAAAAATGCGACTGAAAAAGTATGATGAACTTACTTTTAGGTTCCAGCGAGTCATTCGCTCCAAGAATAAATTTAAATATTTTCCCCTCAATTCATATTTGTTTAATTCTTTGATTTTATGGTTCTGTTTTATTGCTATTGTTCAGAATCTATTAATAAAACTCATTACCATGCTAGCAAAAAACACTTTTGTACTCAACTTGAATCAATTACAGTGATTCGTCAAACAATGTTATTCAGGTTCTAATTTTATTGTTATAAACTTAGTTGAATTGTGACTGTTAAAAGTTTCAGAGAGCAATTTTCATAATTGCCTGAGGTCTTCTAGTTCTTAAAAAGCTGAGATCATTTAAAATTCTAGCCAGAATTATCCAAATGAAGCTGTATAAAAATTGATAGTTAAATGCAATATTCAACAATATTGGCAATAATTTGATCTGAAACTAATTTATGCAAATGAGAACACACAAGTTACTCACTGCAAGTAGAAATGCAGTGAGAGTTAGCTGATTTCTTACCAGATTCCCATTTTTTATCTGTTACATAAATTTTCTGATTATAAATTCAATTCATACTCTGCAAATTATGCCATGGTTCATCATGCATGTATGCTAGCGAACTAAACGCATAATACGTTTCTTACACGTTATATCTATGTTTTATACGTTATTTTACGGTTTTATTTCTTTCGTTCCATCCATCAGCATATCATGTCATTTGACCTTGCCTTAAAAACTGTAAACAGTCCTACGTAGTCAGTACTCTAAACAAAACTGTCATTACGGCAGCGTTGTTCCATTTCCAATTTAAAATCAGAACGTAAAGGTTTTCCAACTGCTTCGAAATTACGACTACAAATTTTCGTATAGCATATTAAACCGTTACGTGTAACCCCGACTGCAAGCTACACATCACATTTCCGGAGCTCAGGTTTTTCGCTTACCGTTTTTATCGTATACATGGCCTATTTAAGTCTCGTTATGTTATAGTTGTTTCCCTCGTAAAATATTTTATCTGGGTTAAGAAACGACTTAAATTTGAACTGAAGTAAGCAGTGATTTTGAGTCTGCCTGGCTTTACTATGACTTCATATTAATCATACTCAATTAACTCCTAGCGATTCTCTGTTCATCTTTCTGAAGTTTGTTGTTGTCTGTCGCTGTTCAAAAACTTGTAGGTTAGCAGAATATTCAAGTTCTGTTGAAGAAGTGCTGATTTATAGATTAGAAACATCTATAAATTCCCACTTGCTTGAGATTAATTAATTGTAGCTATTCTCGTGATACGGAGATATCATTTTATAAGAAAGTGTGGAACGCTATTCCAAATGCAGAAGTTTTACTTCATCTCTCTCGTTATGAACTGAGTGCGTAAAGTTACAACTACCGGCACGTATTGACGAGAGCGGCGTGACGAAATCGAACTTATATTGTTCATGTAGTGACTTGTAAACACTATTTACGTCTAGATGCCGATTGTCGTAGTAATATACTACAGAAAGCTGTAATTTAGAAAAAAACTTCAGCTGGATTGTTTTCATATCGAATTCCACGTAATTGTGTTTCTGATGTTCTGATACATAAATTCATGAATATTTGTTTAAAAATTGCATTTGTTCGTCCGAATAGCTATAGTTTGATATTTGTGGAGCTACCAGATGAGGGATTTCGGTTTGATTGGGAATGTATATTTATGCCAGCTGCAAATCAAATGTTTGGAATTGCCTGGCAGAACATTTGGGTAGCAGAGATATTAAGACTGCTTGGATTTTATAATTTTAGGGTTTCCATTTCTGGTGCTAAAGTAAAAAAAGTCTTTTCTCCCCGAAAATCAATAAAATTTTTAGACTCGTTAGTTTCATTAATCCTGCTATAAAGCGATATTGAAAAGGTAGCAATATTTAAGTTTGTGACTGGTGATGTTTAAAGGTTACCTATGGATGCTTCTGTTAACGGAAACCAGAACAGTGCAAATGCAAATAATAATAAAAACTGTATCAGTTCTTCTAATAAGGTTATTTTATTTTATGTTTTTGAGAGTTGTGTGTAGGGACACTGCTATGGATTATGGTATAATAAGATAAATACTAAAATGACAGTGATTGACGCTGTCAGTGATTTATTGCTGGAAAAATTCAGAAACAAAATATGTTATTTCAAATTATTATTTTTATTTTATTTATTTTAATTTTACAAGTTATCGTGTTTTTTTTAGGTTAACATAGTTGAGATCCCAGTATTTCTTTTTATTTGCATTATTGTTCTGTCGTTCAGATCGCAAAATTGAAAATGGAAGATGGAGAAGCGAATACGGGTTTTAAACGTGTACGTCATCCTCGTGAATCAGCTGAAGTTGCTAAAAAACGTTTGAAATTAGATTCAAAGAATTCTTTCGATCGGGTTGCTTCAGAAGTAAAACTTTTATGTTATATTTTTATAGGTTGATTAATTAAGCGTGAAGTTAATAGTTTTTTATGATATTCAAGCAGGGGTGAAATAAACGACTAATAGTTCTGCATGAAATTTAGGCTTCTTTGAGTTATATATTACTTTATATTACATTTTTAATTATTTTCTTCTTGTGATAACGAAACATAGATGACTTTATTTCTATCGTTTATCTAGTAGGAGTCTAAGATTTACACTTTGGTATTTCACTAAAAATGAAAGAGTTTTTTATGTGCGTAGTTTTAGGCGTCAAAAAATGGTTCTGAGCTAAATGAACAAAGAGAAAATTCATGTGAACGTAATGAGTGTGGTAGTTTGAAGTGTGCTCTGGAGATTTCGTCAGTGTAAGTTAATTTCGTATCAGTTTTTATATGAAATAGTAATTGGATCAGTTATTGATTTAAAAACATTTGAAATAGAATGTGACATTATGTTTAAATATATTAAATTTATTAAATATACGTGCCGGGAGCTTGTTGAAAAAGTTAATATTTCATGACTGCGTTTTGCTTGTAGATGTTATGGACAGGAAAACAGTAGTAGAAAACAATTGAAGGATATGAATTACAATGGAAAAATTTTTCATCACATTTCAAAGGGTGAACATGTTTGCTATGCTTGCCACGACGAAATATGGAAACCGTTAGTTTTATTTCAGTTGTTGATTTTTAGAACATACAATAGCATTTGTATATTAATTTTCAATGAGCAGTGGTCGATCGGAAAATGATCGTTTCAATGAATGGAAAGGAAAATGGGCTTCAGAAAGTCGCTGCACTCCTTGTGTAAGGCTTTATATTCAGGATCAGTTGCTTCCATTCTGGCTGCAATGCAAACTGTGTAAAAAGTTCAGGTGAGCTGTTTCAGTAAATTTATTATTAACCTACTAATAAATTATTAGAGATAACTTTTATTCTCATTCATTTATAAAGAAATATGTGTAATCAACATTCTTTAGGCGCTTGCCAAAAACTGTTCATACCATTAACTATGAAAGTGTCAAGGAATTCGTTTGCTCTCAAGATGTTGAAGGTGATCAAGATAGTGTAATTGATGCATGCAGCATCAAAGAGGAAAAAGTAATTATTTTACTACCAGATTCTTCTGTAATTGATTCCTCTTTTTTTAAACATAATGTTATTTGTTGGCATATGTCATATTTTTAGTCAGTTCAACAAGCTTTGGAAACGACATGGATAAAGTCTGTAAGCGTCCCACCATTGTTACATAACTCACCTGCTATCCCATTTTTGCAGCATGAATACTATTATGACGAAGTTGGGATCAGTCCCACCAACAAAATATTTAAGCATAAAGATGGTATATATCGTATTTCAAATTTTTAGACATTGTTGGCCATTAACTCTACATAATAGCATGCTCAAGCAGTATGAGATTAATTTCAAACTACTTCTTGAAGTATTTAAGCGAAGCCTATCATTTTTTTTGTCCAGTTGAAACGAAGTAGCTATTTTTTGGTGTTTAAAATTTGTAGATGAAATATTTGGCTTAAGTTTAGGATTTTAGTACTCATTTTTTGCCATTTTCATGATATAGAAGTTTTATTTTTTTTGCAATAAGTAGTTGCATGATAAGCAAAGATGATTTAGGAGATGAACTAAAAAGCTTTATGCGTCCTTTCAATATTCCACATGAGCAGTCGATGGCGTTTTGTTTGCGACCGGATGTTATGGAATATGACGAGTTGCATAGTTTTCCGGAATATTCTGCTGAACCATTCGCTTATTTGGCCATGCGAAATCTTATTATTGCCTTATGGAATTTGAATCCGTTTGTGCGTTTTTAATGCTTTAAACCTACTATTTAATTTGACAATATTTTCAAATTCTTTTTTTTCTCTATTATTTTGTTTCATTTTTATCGAAACACATTTTTAGCAGTATCTAACATTGGACTATTGCACCCCGTACTTGATTTGTCGTGGTCTTGCACGAGTTTGGTATATAAATGAATTAATTCGTGTCATACAATTTCTTACTGCCAAGTCTCTTATCAATTATGGAATATTAAATCTTCCAAAAACTTCTATTTTGGGATCAAAATATAATGTAAGGCTGTATATTTTTTGTCAGTTGATGAAAAAAGTGTCAATATGGTTATTATAAGAAATTTCAGAGCATAATTTTTGGACAGTGGACAATAGAAATTTATAACTTCTTTCTTTATCATATTAACATAATGATCAAGGTTTAGGATATGGAAGTGATTATCATTGGTGCAGGGATCAGTGGTTTGACTGCTGCTCGTCAGTTACGTTCATTTGGTTCGAAAGTCAAAGTTTTAGAAGCAAAAGGAAAATTAGGAGGACGGCTTTTGGTTAGTAAATTTTGTTTGCATTAGCGAAATGACTGATATCAGGCTGTTGTCAGTTTTAAGCTAAATAACAAATTACAGTCTTTGCATAAGTATAGTGTGCATTTTTTAATAATAATACGATTTTTTAACATTCGAAAAAAACAATTTTTTAAGCATCGACATATCTGCAAAAACTTATAATTTTTGTTTACGATGGTTTCTTTAGTTAGTGACCTTGCCAGTTAAATGTTTAAACAACACATTGCTGTACGTATCAGAATGGATCTTCAAGTTATTTAAATTCTAGCTCATCATTTTGTAAGTATTTTATCATATTTATTCAAAACTATTATCTTAGGATGATTGGTCATTGGGGGTTGCAGTTGGTAGCGGCGCACAACTTATTACAGGCATTATGAACAATCCAATCGTTCTGATGTGTGAACAGGTTCTGGCTTTCACATATATTAGTGAAATGTAAAAAGATAATATTTTTAAACAGAGTTCATTGAAACTTCTCTCTTAACTGTTCAAAACGTATTAATTTTGTCTAAGTTTTTATACTTTTGCAGAAGTCATATATTAATAGTGAGGTAAAGTGATTAGTATTTCTTTTTAGTCCGATTGTGATGTGTATGAAATTAATTTTGTCGATTTAATGGAAAACGAAATTTATCATGATTAAATTAAGAGAGGTGCTGAATATATTTACGGTAAATAGTTTTGTAAATACAAGTTCGAATTCGAATAAAATTGCAGATAGGTGTTGTTTATCGAGCAGTAAAGGATGATTGTCCACTGCTGGATGCAAAAACTGGACAATTAGTGTCTACAGTTTGTGATCGGGTTGTTGATGAGCATTTTAACTGTTTACTTGATTGCTTGGCTGATTGGAAACAAAATGTAAAATTTGGCGATGAAAGTCTCCATGGTAATTTTTTTATAGTGCGAATTGTACAAATTTTTATGAGTTAATCCGAACAAAAGTAGCATTTTAACAGTAAAAGTAAATAATCTATCGCAGATTTTCAATGATATATTGTTCGTTATTTTCGATTTCTAAAATTATACTCAATACCGTTACTATTCAATAAAGTGTACTCAGTAAAATAGTAATTTTTAGAATGGTTTCTTCAGTTTTATTCTAGATCGCATTATGGGTTTTCATCAAGAATTCATAAAAGCAGCAGAGTTGGAGTGGACAGATGTTGGTTTTATTTAGTTATTTCTGATTTTACAACTACATTTTCATATGCTTTCTGTGTTGAGTTAACTTTGTGCTTGAAGTAAATGATTAAGTGGAAAATCATTAGACAAACGAAAATAACAGTATTCACCTCTAACGATCTGGTTGTTTAGTTTTTTTGTAATGCAGTGCAATAGTACAAGGATAAAGAAAATATTGCTCTTGTGATGTGTCTGTTGAATCCTACTGGGTTACTTTTGTATTAATTTCATTTTACTAAATGGTGAGGTTAAAAATACTGTATAACATTTTATGATATAATTGATACTATAAATTGAAAGGCGAGTGTTGTGGCCAGCCATAGCTCAGTTGGTAGAGCGGAGGACTGTAGAGTGAGAGTAGATATCCTTAGGTCGCTGGTTCGAATCCGGCTGGCTGGAACCTCTTTTGCAAACATTCATTTGCATGTTTCCATTTACTGGAGTTTCTTACATTTCTTTCTATGTTCAGCGAAAATGTTGCTGCAGAATTTTCATACTTTATATTGAACAATTGCATGTGAGGCTTTAGTACTATAAGTTGATATCGATTATATCATTTATCATATAAAAATATAATCTCTTTGAAAATATCAGGATGAGGAGCGCATGTTGCAATGGCAAATAGGTAACGTGGAATTTTCATGTGGTTCGAAGTTGGATGATGTTTCGGCGCGAAACTGGGATCAGAATGAAGCAGTAGCGCAATTTGCTGGTGTTCATGCTCTTTTAACTGATGGCACATCAGAACTTATGCGTCGGTTGGCGGAAGGTACCGATATTAGATGTAATCATGAGGTCATTTTTTTTTTGATTCCATACAACCACAAAGTATCATGGTTAAAATTAACTGATAAAAGTATATTTTTTTCAATATGAATGCGTTGCGAAAAAAGCTTAGTAATTATTTGTTTCTCCTAATAAATGTCTTGAAAGTTTCGTTTGTCGCTACTAAATAATCCGAAAAGTTTTGGGTCGGAAAAAATTATGAATTAATGGGAGAAAATTCTTCGTGCAGAAGAAATAATCAAGATGTGAACAATATGAATCGACAGCAATGAAATTTATTTCCACATGACAAGAATATAAGACATGTTCAGGTTTCGAAAATTGAATGGTTAGGAAGAAAAAAAATTTTTGTGAGATGCAGCAATGGAAGAAAGTATTCTTGTGATAAGGTTGTTTAATTTTTACTTCGTAATTTTAATTTCAAAAGCCTTCACATACCAGATGAAGCCATATTATTTTTAATCGAGATGTATTGGTTTGATGAATCGTGAAAATTTCATGTAAAAGTAAATGTCAGTTCTTATTGTTCAGGTTCTGATTACCATTCCGCTTGCTGTTATGCAGAAAAAACTGATCACATTTATTCCGGCTTTACCTGAGACGAAAACAATAGCTCTAGAACATTTGGGTGCTGGTTTGATTGAGAAGGTTAAGATCTTTTTGCTTGAATCATTTTGCAATAGTTTAAGGATTTGCTCACAGTTACACTTCCTCTTTTGCTGTAGAACTAAACTATAAGCTGCTGAATTTAATCCTAAAAACCTACATTTAATTTTTATACTTTTTATAATTCAAAAAATAATCTAGTCGTGGCAATGAAAATTTTTTTCTCTTAATTTGAAGAAATTTGCTTTCTTCTAAATACTTTTAATCTTTGGTTTTTGGACTTTTCTTGTCTGAAATTTTAGATCCTGATTATGTGCGTAATTATATTCAGGTTGCTGTAAAATTTCCTCGTCGATTTTGGTTGTCAATTCTGAAAAGTGATGGAACGTTGGATTATTTTGGTCATGTACCGAAAAGTGCTGATGAAAAGGGGCTTTTTAATATGTTCTATGACTTTTCAACTCGAGTAAAGTATTTGCTCTACTTTTCGTTTTATTTTTAGTGCAAATGGCCCATCAAAATGACTCTTGTAAGCGTCTTCTAAATACCACTTTAATCCTTTAGATCCGTTCACTAGTGCCGATTTTTTCTACTTACATTATAAACTTAAATGTCAAAATATTTAGAATGAAACTCAGAGTCAGAATAAAAATTAATTTTCTTGTCTTATTAATAGATAGAATTCATTTTGATGTAGAATAACTTGTGATAGTAACTGTTAAGCTCAAAATGATATTATGTGATTGAATGCGAGACTTAAAATAAGCTGCATTAGTTTTCCAAGTTCTTGCTAACAAGAAATAAAACATGCTACGTTCATGCGATTATCTTCGATCTTAACTAATATTTAGGGAACCAGAAATCAACACTACGTTTTGATGTCATACGTATGTGGAGACTCAGTGAACTTAGTCAATGAAAAAAGTGATGTAGAAGTTGTGGATATTTTTGTAGACACTTTGCGTGATATGTTTCCTCAAGAGGTGAAAGATTCTTTATTGCTTATTGTCTATTAAAAAAAAAGTTGTGCAGAAGTAAAATCTTTTTTATAATTATCAAATTTAGCTTATAAAAATAGCTAAATATAGATTTTGGATTTAAAAGGAGAAACGTATTCGCGTGTTTCTTCGGAAAATAAATGAATAATTGCAAACGATATAGATATCTGTTGAATTTTAAATGCAAATAACAATCGTGAAGATACACTTAAATTTGTTTTAGAATATTCCGGATCCTGAGGGTTACGTTGTAACACATTGGGGTCGTGATCGTCATATTGGTATGTCTTATACTTACATTCGAGTGGGAGGCAGCGGTGATGATTACGATAGACTGGCGGAAGACGTGGATGGAAAATTATTCTTTGCTGGAGAAGTATTTAACCTTTTTTAACTTTCCTATGTATAAAATGTATTAGTTTTCGAAGCTTTTAATTAATTGTCAGTTTTTTTTTTCAATAAAAATTTCTATTTTATGTAATTTATCTTATTTGAAATATTTTCTTGATCTCACTTTTTCATGTAGCTTTGCTTCTTATCTAACCTCCTTTCAGGGAACAAATCGTTTCTTTCCACAGACAATGACTGGCGCTTATGTGAGTGGTTTACGTGAAGCAGGGAAAATCGCTGATAGTTGGTTAAAACGAAAATCAAAGTGATAGTTTTTGATCACTAATTATCAAGAGAAGAATTAAAGTATGACGATTTGTGAGTCTGTAGTGTAACGTACTTATTATTATAGTCTAAATGTATATATGAAATTTAGTGGTAGCTTTGGGTATGACATTTTTTGAAGAGGAACAATGCAGCAGTTGGAAATTATTTTATTATTATTTAACATATATCTTTTTACATCACTCATTTATTGCATTATTTATATGTATGTTACCACTACAGTAGCTTAGATAGTCTAAGTTTTACTACGTGAATACTTTTTGCTGCTGAACTTGCCAAAAACAATAGTTACGATGACTTTTATAATTCTTTTACACATATTATCCTAGTCTAAAACAGTTATATTTTGGTATTTTTCAGCACTTTTGTACTGTTTTGCTTCAACACCTTTTTACCTGTTATTGTTTTTGTTTTTGGGTACTATATTGTGTCCCCAATTGCTAGGTAAAAATTAATACAATCTTAAAATTATCCTTAAACTCAGTGATTTCAAAAAGGAGCTACTAATCTCAACTCTGCTAGTTTTTATTGTCCCAAGATTATATTGAATTGTAACGTTATATTCCTAAAAAAGTCTGTTCATACAAAATGTATCCAGTCGTTTTTAATGAGTAAATATCTTGTCTTCAGCACCTTTTTACTTATTGTTTCGACATTTTACCATGTAAAATTTATTTTTTCAAGTAAAAATGAATTTTTGCTTTTTAGTATTGCAAATATGATTGTGTGGGTAATTTTCGTTTAGATTGAATCAGAACACCCCACTCATTCTTGTGAATAAATTTAGATGGCACATTTTGTTTGGTTAATAGGTATAAGTCATCGCTCTAAAGTATATAATAGCATTAATTTTGAAAATGTCATTATGATTATTATGATTTCTTTGAAAGGAATTCATCTGCGAGAAAAAAATGCATATCCTGTAGACTTGGAATTTGTGAACAGATCTATAATTCTGATGCTTTGACCGAACTTTAGAAATTATTGATATTTTATGTACATTCTATTCTTATATCGTGAATTAGTTTATCTCCACTTCAGCATTTTACGCTTCTTAGTTGTAAGTTTTCGTCGCAATGACAAGTATTTTTGATGCATGATTATTAGATATTGCATTCTGTTAAATTATTGACATTTGACTGGTTGAAAAATTGAAGAAATCTTCAATTCAATTGTGCAATAAACGAAGAGAAACCGTAATTTATTCATTTTCCGGGACTTTGACAATGCTTGGTTAATGCTTGCGAAACCTGCAACATTTTATGTTGTTTATTAGAATGTGCACAAATGACCGAACAATTTCAGTATAAATTTTTCGAGTTTTACGGAAAGGGACGTCGGATTTGATATTACAACATGCGGTGATACCAAGTAATTAAGTTATTAGAATATTAGAGCATGAGTTTCTAAGATAATTCTTTATGTATTTATTACTATTGTCAGAAATTCGAAGAATTTACTGTAAAATAGAAATTATGAATTTACTGTTGTGGAAAAGATGAGAAAAAGCTCAGCTGAGATTGTACTTCATATCCTGTTGCATGTAGTGGGGTGTGAAGTTCACTTCGCGTCTGGCAATAACGTGTAATGATCGTCCATCGGACTGACTCGTACCAGGTATGTGTTGTATATATGTGAAGTAGATCGAAGTTTAATGTAGCGTTGATTTCAAGCTGATTAGTATAAGGATTGTATAGAAATGCGAAAATTGTCGCAATACACAGAAGATCATTTGCACATGGAAATAAGGATGATTCACTGTGTATTGCAAAAATTTCATTGCCATATTTGTACAGAATAAGGGATTATTCAACGAATTGGTTGAGATGTTGAAAAATACTAACAAGATTTGCTTAGAATTGCAGTTATTTGGGAAATGTTCGTGTATCCAGCACTTACAGTTGTCGTATTTAAATTTAAGTATATGTTGTGTTGGTGGCGTGTATGCGTAATATATTGTTTCGAAGGATTACTATCTAATATTTATCAGTACTCACCTTCCTATGGAAATGCGCATGGTCCACTATGATTAACATTCAGAAATTTGTTATAGACGCGTAGTTTTTTAAATTATGTAAATACTTCGGACTTCCATGTCATAAATATAAAAATTCATAAACTATCGTGAATAAAGACTTTGCAGGAGTAATGTTTGAAAAACGGATATACGAAAAAGCTCAAGAAGATCTGCATAGAATTGATATTTATCGTGATACCCCCATACGACTTCTCGGTAGGATCAGTGACATTTGCTTGTTTCGGTTCCTTTGTTACTTAGGATTTAATTAATAGTGGAATGAAGTTTGGAATGAACATATAATTTCATTAATTCAGTATCAAATAATCATATGTATGATAGATTTATTGCAAATCCTTTACACGTGAAAATTAAATCGTGCTGTTGAAATTTGAAAATGTTGCCGGAAATGAAGTGTATGTAGTTTTTTCCATCTTTGTACTGAAGTTTTTAATGTGTTTTTGCTTTTTATTTAAAATTATGGTTTATTAAAATTGGACATAAGTTCAGGTATAGTGTTTTTTAATGTCTACTATTTCTTAATTATCTTTAGCGCAACAGCATTGAGCAACTAAATTTTTATTTTATTGTGTGAAGTGGCTTGTTTTCGTCCTGACTTAGTATTTTGCACTGAAGGAGAGATGAGGTTTTAAAATTTAACATTGGAAAAAAGGAGCATAATGAATGAAGATGAATAAAATTGAGCAAAATTTTTGGCATGGATTCTGAGTGAAATTCTTTTCAGGATATGCAAATGAAGTTGGAGAGGCATTTCGTGCTTGGGTACCAGTGAATGTGGTTCGTTTGTCCTATGTCTTTGCTATGGGTTATGTTTTTGCTGACACAGCGGACAAAAGTCGTAGAACTTACGCGGTAAAGTCCAAGTTTTCAGGTTTAAAGTCTAATTTTTTTACGAATTATCATACAAAAAGAATTCATCTTACTGCTCATTTTTCAATGGTAATTGAAATGGTCATGCGAAAGTACAATGTTTTTGACCAGGATTTATATATATATATATGTCTTTAATAATCGTAATTAGAAAATTATTACGTTTCAGTCGAAATATTCGAATAATAAAGAACGCTATCAGGCTGTCGCCTTTCGAGCAGCTGATACTTTGATGTGGCAGACATTGGCATCTGTTGTGATCCCTGGATTTACTATCAATCGAATGTGCTATCTTACAACAAAGGTGCTTAACTGGTTAGTTATTTATTTTCAAGAAATTTATCTACTCCAGTTGGTTCAAAATAAATCTTTGTGAAGATATATTTAAACCATGATTGTAAACGATTGTTGATATGATCGGTTTATAGATTGCTGTTAATGTTCTTAGCATGATAATTGTGTTATTTGTGTAAGTAACGCTAAAGATTGAACATAATTAGGAAATTGCCGCAATATGGTATCTTTATGTAATCTAAGAACTGCTTATCATTTTAGGACGACGAGAATACCTGTGAAAGCACAGAAGTTAACATCAACTGTGTTAGGATTATGTATGATTCCATTCATCGTGAAACCAATCGATACTGCTGTTGAAATTGGAATGCAGTCCTCAGTGAGGAAGTTTTATTCAGAAGTGTTTGTGGAAAACTAAGCAACAAAAGTGAACACTTGTTATGATATGATTTTTTTTCAGCTTCCCATCATATAATATGAATATAAATCCAGTTTTTTAAGGTATCATCATATTCATATTCCTTGGCTAAATTGTCATATTTCATTATTTAACCAGAAGTACATGGTTGTTGAGCTGAATTGATTCCGTAGTAGCAGTTATTAACTACTTTCTTACGAAATTCATGTTATTAATTCAAAAATGTTTCAACTAAATAATATTTATTAAGTATCATTCGTCGCAAATCATTTATGCATGCGTCGCAGGTGCATATGTATAAATACCAGGTGCTTTGCATGCTTGTATATAAATATCTGGTGCTTCACATGCATACATATTTGCAAAAGCTTTATTATCATGCTTCATTCGAGATTTTTTTTGAATGTTTGTGCTACATTCGTATTTGATTGCGGTGATGTTTTTAATGAAGATAAAAATTTTTGTTGTTTCTATTGCTCTCAGATTTTCTCATTTAGAATCATTTTGCACAATGAACCATTTTGCATAATGAACACAATGAACCCAAAGATCAATAATTTCCAGTTCGAAGAGATGGAACCACATCCGTGGGTCAAAGACAAAATAAAGAGATCGGGGACATAACGTCACTATCAGTTAAGATCAAGATATTATTACTGTTTATTTTTCAGATACTTGTCTAGTTCTATGACTTGCACAGGAATTTGTTGTATTATTTCTTATAAATATTCCATGTTTGCTAAAATATCACGATTTAATGCCATGCGCTTGGACTTGCGCAGCGAAAATTGCAACTTTCTTGGCGACTAATGTAGTCATAATCATACGCTCCAAGAGCGGTCAACTTCTGCCAGAAACTGAATGAATTTAAAATTTTTTCAGTATTTCATTTTTCACCTGATATTTCTCTCAAGCAAAAATGTTGTAGACAAAGTTTTGCGAACAAAATACTTAGCACAAGCTGTAAATACTTATTGCTAGTGTGTTATGTGAAAAAGTATGTGTGTCATTTTCGAGAGTTATATTCAAAGTTTTAAACTTTTCTCAGATGGATAATTTGTTCGGAACCTTACCAGAGAATGTACACAATCACTGAACATTTTATTGTGTTGCCTGAGTGAATATTCACTTATTTCACCTTGACAAGGCTCGATTTTTATCGCTACATTAATTTTCTCTAATGCAGTTACTGAATTCTTGTGTATTATGAATATTAAATTTTAATATCGAGATGTCGATAATAAGTCTGACTTACTACCTAATTTTATATGTTCTTTGCAAATTCATCACGATTGTTGCTTCACCCCTCAAATTTGAGATAACATTCATCTGCGTTCTTCCTGATCCAAATAAATTATTGTTTTTGCATTGATGAATTTAAGTTCAAGATTTCTAACTACTCATGCAAGATAACACTGAGCATATTTATGTGTACAATCCAAATTTACTTCTCACTCTTCCACTTGACCTGAAATTTTTATGTTTGAAAATTATCGCTTTTCTCAATGTTGCGAACAAATTGTCTTAATTTTGCATATTGCAAAAATCAACTGAGCTTATTATTATTTGTCAGTTAGACAAAAAGCAAACTTTGCTCTGCCCTTCGTTTATTGCATTTCTTCATTATATTAACAAGTAGTCATCATTTTGTTAAGAAGAAGTACACAGAATATCTGAAGATAACGTTGTAAGCAGAATGCTACATTTGTGTTTTGCACATTTTATTCTACTGTTATCTATAAAATTGTTGGATCTGTTTCAAAGTATTCAAATAATGTTTTCACAGTTGAACTTATACAAGCACTTGCTTCTGTTTCATGTTTGCCATTACTATTATCTTTGTTATCATCATTAGAACTGTATGAATGCTCATCTTGCTGACTGCAATCATCCGGGCTTGCTGATGTTCTCCACGATTCTTCAACAGAATCACCAGACGTAATCTGAAATTCGTCAGTTATATCCAGTATTTCACGCAATATTTAACACATCATAGATATTTTAACATTTAAATGTAATGCTAAAATTGTCTCAAATTTTCGTTACTGATAACAGTTTTTAAAATTATAGCATTAATTTGAAAAATATTGCAAATATTTGTTTATCTATCATTTCTTTGCTATTTATACACTGATAAAGTTGACAATCATATGTATAAATGTTTATTTGATTAAGTCAAAATTTACTGTCTCATTATATGATGTGCTCGGATGAGGTAATGCTGGAATATGTGAATCGTTCGAGATTTCATGACATTGTATACTGTTCCGGCGGAACTTTGCTCGAGCATTTTGGAACCAAACCTGAAATAACAGAGTGGTTATGATGTTGGCTCAGCTTTGTTTCATTGCAAGTACTGCCATTCTCACGTGTTGAACTACTGATGCACTAAGAAGCTGAATATTTTGTTAAGTAATGGATCTAATTTCCATCATTTTACTTCTATTTTCTTATATTCAAGTGTTGTGTCATAGTTTATCTGACAAGACCCTTTTTTACCTAGTAGTTTGTTTCTGTAATTCTGTAATTCTTCTTACTGCTTTTATGTATTGTGATAAATTGTAAGTTTGACGATTTAGTTTTAGTAAATATTTGTTTCTAATATTAATTTTGCTTGCATATGTGACTGACTCATAGTAAATGTTTGATGGCATATCACTTAAAATTAGCATTAGCTGAGAATAAATGTAGCACAGAAGGAGTACAATAGAAAATATAACTGTTAAGTTATTCAGAAGTAATCTATTTGAAAATGTTTTTGTTGCTGAAAACAGTCATGAAAGTATTCTTGAGACATACATTAATGAACTAGTAAGATCTGCAGTGCTTTTCTGA